CCCCCCCACACACACACACCACGCACATGCCCATGTACTCAAACACACCTACAAATGCTGGCCGCACGGTTTTAATACAACGTTAATTTCTTTTTGTATTTTTTACTTGTTGAGTGATTTTTAAGAAAGAATTACTTTAAAGGCAGCACTGTCATTTAAATTGTGGCTTTACAAGTCTGAGGTATGAGTTACGTTCTGCCTTTGAAAAAAGAAATAGGTCACTCACAGGATCAATAACTCTCAACGAGAACCAATACTGCTGTCTTAGGAAAAAAGGACGAATATCGGAAATTGGGTCAAATAGAGATATCGATACCATGTGAAAGAGTGTGAAAAGCTGCATCTTTTGAACCAGTGGCCATTACATTTAGAGATGTTCGAATACTTTATTTTGGTATTGGAAGTATCGTCATAATTTTTTCTTTTTAATGTATTTTATATTTCATGAAAAAAAGACGAATCTCTGGCCCTACTGTGAAAAAAGGACGAATACCGAGAGGTTCGTCCTCAGTTTACGAAAAAGCGACGAATATACCGATATTCGTCCTTCTTCGCCAAAACATGCCTACGTTACAATGCCACAGGTCTTATGATGAAATACCAAAAGGCTCAAATCCTGGTATATCCAACTTTGATCCTCGCTGTGTCAAGTGTGTTGCACGCAGTAAGACGACAAGCACCACTGCTTGTGTACACTCACCAGAATTTGAACCCCGGATCTTTTGCTCCACCGGCAAAGCGCAATTAAATAACAATCTGGAAGCCCCAAAACACTTATATAAAACCAGACGAACCTCAAATATCACAGAAACGAAAAATCCAGTGCATTATTATTTGAGAACGTCGGGTGAAAGAAAGACGAATATCGCTATTCGTCCTTTTCCCATAAAAAGCTAATTAAAACTTCATCAATCTGTTATGAAAGAATGACTTTTGTCTTCTCACACAAAATTTTGTTAATATTTCCTAACAAAATTTTAACTACAAGTGCATAATTACACCATCCTTCCTCCTGCAAAAAAAATCAAGTTAAAAATAAAATGAAAAACCAACTTTTTAAACGTGAGACGAATAAATTTGATTTTTTGGCCCTCCTGGAAAATGGGTATGTCGCGATATTCGTCCTTTTTCCCCAAGACGGCAGAATACCCCACTCTTATAAAGGTCACGAAATGTCGACCTGGATAATGTTCTGAAATAGTTCAGGTCAGCGTACCTGATATTTTGTTCTTCAAAGTACCCTTTAATTTAAACTTTTAACATGAAAAACAAAGAAACAATGTTGGAACCAACTTCTTGAAGTCTGTTGAAGTATATCCCCACGTCTCTTCCTCTACATCTCCTCCTCCCACCCGCCCACAACTTCTCTCTCTCTCTCTCTCTCTCTCTCTCTCTCTCTCTCTCTCTCTCTCTCTCTCTCTCTCTCTCTCTGTAGCAGAATGCCTTTTACAATCAAAAATGGCTC